ACGTGAGTAAATTGTTTCGTTATTTTATTGATTATTACAAATCAATATTCAAACGACCCAATTCATTTTCCCGAAAATTTGAGAATATAATAATTTTATTCTTAGTATTACACTACATCTATCCCAACTGATATACGTGTCCTTGCAAAAATGTTGATGACATCATCGCAATTTTTTTTTAAATTCCCACTACAAAGATGTAATGAGAAAAAAAACACAATAGGCATGCAGTCGTCAAGTTTCCGACAGCGAGGGAAGTACTGTCTAAACTCTTTAGACCAATTTTTTTATATTTGATTGGCACCCATGCTGACATGACAGGCTAATTTGGTCACTAAATTATGTACCCGTAAAAATAAGAGACTGTCCCATATATTCAAATATTCAAATCACATATCTCAGTAACTTTATGTGATACAAAAATTCTGAAAATAGATTTGAACTTAGAAGAATTGCATTATTCAATCCAAAAGCTATAAAAATTGGCTTTTCTACAGACCAGTGTAATCAACACATCAGTCCTAACAGACACCATAAAATTAAAAAAAACAATCCAAAGCCAAAAAGACTATACAAAACCACAAAAACTGCAAACTATAAGAACGCAAATAAAACGACAAAGAGTTCATTATTTATGATCATGTAATTAAGTTTCTTTAAGACCAGCATCTCAATCCACCTGAACAGCATGGTTTCTTCACCGGGAAGTCTCTACAATGTAACATCCTCTCTTGTACGTCTGAGCAACGCAAGAATATGGACGTTCGATGAGGTACCAAAACGACCTCTTTTGGAGAAGCTACATCACCTCGGTTTGGAGAGGTGAAGTGTTCAAATGGACTTACTCGTTTTTTGTGAGTGTTGTTGTTATCAGTGAGGTACATCAAGGTAACAAGATTCCATACTTTGTCAATTACTGTTTATTTCTTATACAGGTGATATTAAAGGATGTGTACTGACGATAGTAAACTGTACAATAATTGTATCAATTTTTCGTCGCTAATTAATGTCCTAAAACCATATATAATTGATAACAAAAACTTAAAACACTCTAACGGCAGCAAAAAAAGTTCTACATTTGATTTCAGAAACAAATAAAATCCAGTTTTAGCAGACGCTCCAAAACCAAAATTACAAACTAAAAATACAGACTAAAACGAAAACCAGCATCTAATTAATCTGCCCACTGTATCTACAATTTGTATCATTATTTAAAAATCAAGTCAAGTGCACAGCTCTACAACACAAAGACTTCCCCAGAAAATAATTTTCCACCCTAACGAACCGCCCCTGGCCGAATCATCCGACTCTCATGCTCAGTCTAGTTTCGCCATGCGGCTCATTTGACGACGTCAAGAAGGCAACATGATCGTCTGCCATGTCGTTACGACGAACGGGAGAATTGAATACGCGCCCGGAAAACTGAAGGGTGCTCCGGGACTCCGGTTGGTGTGTGACCGTTCGTGCATTATATGAAAATAAAAAGGACGCCAACTTCATATGTATGTAACAAATCAGGATGTGGCGTCCTTTGTGACTCTATTTCGCTGAAAAACGACCGAAAATAAAGCATTTTTATTCGGCCTCTGAGGCCCTCGGTGCTTTAAGAGCGCACATTAATACTCATTTAACTAGTTTCCTACTAGCGCAGGGACTGCTGGATTGTCGTGCCTAATAGGGCACAGCTATTTGTTTATTTGGAGTCGTGATATAGTCTGTTTTTTATGAAAAACTAGGACAAAAAATCTAAATAAAGATGCAACCCAAAATACACTTCCAAAGGTTTCGTTAACTTGCATTAGTGAAGCTCTGTTTTTCAGCGAAAGTGAGAACTGCATACGTGAGTCTTGTTTTTATCCCAGCGAGAGCTTTTATCCTTTAAATTTATTCCTCCATTCAATTTCTCGTTTTGATTTATCGCCCGACCATTTTGTGTACTATTAAAATCACGGCACTGTGTTACAATAAATATTTCTCGAGTTAACCAGAACAAACTTGTATCTGTCTGATCCTTTGGGACAACACACCGTAGACAAACAGACATTCCCATATATGCGCGATGCCGTAAGACTAGTTTGAAAATTTATTAATGCCTAATACGCTATGATTTAATTTATAGGTGGCTTCAGAACTGGGTCGACGGCTTATTGAGACTCTTATGAATTATAGCATGGATATAGGTGTTCTCTCGCTAACAATATCAGAACGAATGTTGTAACTTCGGTAATAAAATATAATAACTGTGACTATAGCAACTAAATCCTCCTAGATAAGTCAAGTTAAAAATTTTAACGTTGAATTTTGCCGGAGGCAAAATTTAGTGCTCCCGGAGCTCGCTTCCGCTATTCGGTATTGACTGTGGAATTAGTTCTTTGCTTGGGAATATATCGAGGCAAAATCCGGTGCGCATTTAGCTGCAATAAAATTTAAACAATAATGCTACCGAAGTCGGTCGTAATGGAGTTTTAATTTATTTTAAACGGCGAATATAATAACGAGAGCGTAAAATAATCTAGAATGGATAATTCAATGCTGGCGAACGGAAAATAAAATACTTGAAAATTTAATTAATTAATTGAAGCATGTAACAAAAACAACATTATGGATTTACAGACTAAATTTGAAAATAAATATACTTAAGGTATATACACAGGTTTTTCATTCGACAATGTAGCAACATAGCGCAGGTTACAGGAATTATAAATCACTACCAAACAATAAGCTTTTGATTACTAAAATCCGCTATCAACTTTTCAGTCATTTATCTTCTACTTGCTACAGATAATTACCTCGAAATTGGTGAACATGTGCTAATTATCTTTGCATATTGTTGAGTAATTGTAATCAAAAGTGATACTAACTGCTTCAGTTCTGCCTACAGGTAGTGATTTTTTATTTGTACACCGATAGTACAAATTAAATAATTTTTTGTGTTACTAAAGTGAAATTTTGTCGATTCTTTAAAGCGACCAAAATCTGGTAAATTAGTTCTATAAGACATTCTACTTAGCGGATACACAGAGGGAAAAAAATCATTAAACCTCAAGTTGCGCTGTATTGTATCCAAATGGCCCAATTATTGTAATATTCGTACACAAACACCCTCCCAGTAAACCTTAAACCATCAACTTCCATACCTAAAATAAACTACTTTCTTTACGATTAAAATTGATCCTCTCCCAAACCCTTTGCAATTTATCCTTACATCGAATCTGATAATCCACTTTACGCTGTATAATTTGCGCCATATATTTTTGGAAAACTTGTAAAAAATTCACCAAAATCGATGGGACCTCTTTTAGATTTATTCGGCTCTCGGAAAGGACATCAGACACGCTACTTCCAGATCATCTTCGGCCATTCATCAAGCCCTCCACCGTGTTTTGGGGTGGCCCTTCGAACATAAATAGGCCACTTCTATTGCGAGAGGCGCTTGCACGCATCGCTCTTATAAATAATACAGAATCTTCCAGATGCAATAATTTATTCCCGAGATATCCTCCCTCTTTATAAAAAGATAATTTACTTTCCGCTACTGTTCGAGTTATTTATGCATTGTTTAATAGTACAATCGAGATTTTTGAGCTTATTTAGCACTCAGTCCTGAAGGATAATTTATCGCAGCATGAAATTGATGTTTATTTTTTTTCTACGAAGTGGTAGTTGAGGCACAATAGGAATATTACATCCCATTTTGATTATCGTAAGATTATAAATGTAAACATAACTGGCTTTGAAACTGTTATATAAAATTAAAATTAAAAGTGTGAACTACCCTTGAACTTAATTATCTCTTCAAACAACTCAAAAAAATAATTACGAAAGTCAGTTATTATTCCTGACTTTTTTTGTTTGTGTAAAAATAATACGTTATGAAGTATTGAACAAGCAACTCATCAGTAAGCACAAGGTATAATTTGAGATTTGTTACATCACGTCTGACAAGTCTTGTTCTGAAGACATTTCACCGTAACAAAACAAATAGTTCACAAATCGATTGGTAGCTTGTAGCTTTATAAATTTGAAAGAATATACATATTTTGTTGAAAACTACAACATTTCCGATGCAGAGTGCGTTAAGGCACTTCCCGCTTTCCAAATCAAGACACTGATTTCATTTCTTTGCTGCCATACTGTTGTTAAGGCTGTTGATACGCTGAAATCAATGGGAATCGTAAGAAACGAATTGCTGCTTTATTATATATTGTTTCTTGGAAGTTTATTACGATTTTGCATGAGAAAAGATCAAACTATGTTTGTATAGAGCTACTTTTTGTAATAACAACAGATCTAAAGTCTACATATTTCTTTAACATTTGACACTAAATTACAAAACTATTTGACACCACAAAACTATTTCTCACTTTCTAGGGGTTATTTTTAGACAAATCCGTTTTTATTTTATATAGGTATAGGTTAGACTTCAGTCACTTCGCGGAACCACACATTGTTATATTTGAACACTGGTTGAAAATTTACCAAACTCTGCTTTCAATCCAATACATGTGGAAGTTAAATCGAAATAAAAAACAAGAGTACCCACTATTTACACTATCGAGCAATTCGAACAACCATACACCTCGAAATGTAATCAGAAATTGGTTTCATATCGAGTGTATTTACCGGCCAAACGCCAGTGTATTCTATAATTCAAACAGCTAATATACACACACAACAGTAATTGAAACTGCATATATTCAGTGCAGTCACCGGTATATCGCGTTGTAAACAAGTCCATGGTTTCTTTCCACAAATAACACACGTTTCGCAATATCCTGTAGCAAATATTTTCCTTGTTACAAAATTGAAACGTAATAATAGTTCCATTGTTTATACGATACTCGACACAAGAGAATTATCTGCAAAAATGAATATTTCGATTATTATTTATGAAAATTTCGGGACGCGGTTGTCACCACTGTTTTCAGCTTACAAAGCTCTAGAAATTATAAAAGAAAGCAGCGAGGATTGAAACTGTGTGTTGTTTATAATTCAGTCTCTACTCTGTGGACTGTTCATCCGACAATTTATTTCCGACATAAATAAGAGTTTCAAAGTAATTTTAGCCAATCTGTGGAGATGATGTACCCCATAGAGCAAATAATAAATAAAACTAATATCTGTCGGAATGTCAATAATGCGCTTTAGTAGTTTAAAGCATCAGGCGACATTTTCACAAAAACGCCCTTCGCTCCACTAAAACCCTGCAAGCACTCCCGTCGCAATTTCTTGTACCGAAGCTTCAAGTGCTTTCGCTTTACAAAAACTCATCCTGTTTGCTTTGAGCTGCTGAAAAGCCATCTGAAAACTTTTCAATATTTTAAAAAGATTTGCACATTGTACTTACCGATCAGATTTTTCGTGTTTTATCTGAATTTGTTTTCGGTCAACGCTTTTCCCTCTTTAAATCCGACTGTTTCTGCTTGTAGTCGGAATACGACTTATTTGTTGTTTGTTTCAGCTAATATCCGGCTTTCTGGAACAATTCATTTTAGGTATTACGTCGAACAATGGCGAGGCTTAGCAACAACCTGCACCAGGTTTAACATTATCTGGTCGACATCTAATATGTTATACATTCACGGTTGGCCAGATGAGGGTCCTCTCGACGTGACCGAGCATATTAAAATTTTTACACGTTCATATTTACCGAAAGAGGTGTGCTGGTATCGATTCACGAGAGTTGTAATTAAGTCTCGTTTAGTTCGGCGTGGAAAAATGCTGCCAATAACACTTTCCGAAATTGGATAATTAAATAATGTTTTACGGGTGGTTGCGCAAAGTAATACGGAATGGAAAAGATAAAAGAATATAGGATTTTAATAATTGGTTCTTACAGCAAGGAAGCCTATGAGTAAAGATTGGTGAACCAAGCAAAAATTCATGTAGTTGACGCAGTGTTAAAAGTTTGAACACAATTTTTAGTTTGAACAACAAAAGTAATGTCAAATAGTTGGACATTTATCCATTTCAAACATTCAGAAATACATATAATAGAGTCCAACAAACAGTGAACATTGACTTTCTGTATCCAAAAGTGCTTGTTGGAAGTGCAAGTGGTCTTTTAAAATAATATTTCCTAAAGAGCCGTTTACACAACTGCAAGTTTGCCAAGCAAGCTTGGAAAAAATATGTCAGTCAATAGGACATTTTTAAACGAACGCGTTTCGTAATAAGTTACATGGTTGGCGAAACGCGTCACGAATTTTTGTGATTTTTCGGTGTTCATGGGGTAATAAGCGTGATATTGAAAATGCCATTTACAGGTTGAAATAATTCATGATTTTAAATTAAGTAAACACTAGCTAAAATTGGGTATAAATTTATTCGAATTTGAGCTCTGCGTTAGCTAGTAGGTGAGATTGAATGTATTACATTACGTTAATATTGATGACACAATTTTCATTTCAAAAAAATTTTACGTGGTTAATATGATTTAAAGAAAAGTTCATGCAAGTATTTTAAAGTTGAAGACACAAGAAAGCACAATCAAATGTTAACTGCTAAAAGAAATTAAATAAATATGTGTCACCTTTTGTCCCAAATATGTCATTATTGAACCATTGTTTTGTTTGATTAAATTATTTTTTAGTCAAGAATGGTTTTCCTCCAAGTTTAAATATTCTACTTCTATTACATTCCTATCTACTTTTTGCGAAAAAAAAAAAGGACAAGTTACTATCATTTTATTAATAATTATTGACTTCTTAGAACAGGAAGAACTTCTTGCTGGGATCTTCTTTGACCTGAACATGATAGTTAAGCACCTCCTTCGCCCTTGAAATGCAATCCTATAAATCCAATTCCTCCAAAAAATTATAAAACTTAATCTTGCGAAACTTTTATTTTTAATCATAACCTCTATAAGTTAAAAAACCAGATGATACTAGTCACAGTGTAAGAAGAAAAATGGCCCTTGAGTGGATCGGACCCACGACCTTCGCGTTATTAGCACAACACTCTATCTACTTATCATACAATTTGGATATTTTTGGAGGCTTAGGGTAAATAATCTGGGCGGATTCATGAACCACAAATACAGGAGTGTGTTCTTTTATAAAATTTAAATAGAATTTACTATCCAAAATTTTGAGATGACAAACCGGATACCCTAACCATTTAATATGGATAGACCAATATAGATATGTATAAATATAGATGGTATCATTTAAGAGTTAAAAAGCAGCATTTTTTCAAAAACATCGCGACAAAACTCAACGGCACAAAATCTCGCATTGGGGCTTAAAGCATTCGATTCCCTGAAGCTTACTTGTTCTGACAGCAAATTTTCAGCCCGGATACTTCATTCGATTAGTATTAAAAGACCAATACCAAGGAAAGTATCATCTGACTTAAGATTTTTTTCAAATTTAGCGAGATCTAACTCCAAAACGGCACAAGATTCCACACTACGGTTTGCAGCATTCGATTCGCTGAAGCTTTCTAGTTCTTAAAGCATATGTATTTTCAGACCCGATACTCATTTCGTTTAGGATGAAGAGACCAAAATATTGGAAAATGTCATACCAGATTTAAAAAACAACCTTTTTTCAAACTTGTCTAGAGATAACTCTAAAACGGCACAAAATTCAACACTGCCGTTTGAAGCATTCGATTTCCTGAAGCTTTTTAATTCTCCGAACAAATTTTCAGATCATATACTCGATCAGTTTAGTATTGAGAGACCAATATCTATAGAAATTCCATAGACAATTAAAAACAACCTTTTTTTCCAAACTTATCTTGAGATAATTTTAAAATGATACAAGAATCAACACTGTCGTTTGAAGCATTCGATTCCCTGAAGCTTTCTAAATCTCGGAAAAAATTTTCAGATCATATACTCGATCAGTTTAGTATTGAGACACCAATACCTATGAAAGTGCCATATGACAATTAAAAATCAGCCTTTTACCACTTATCTAGAGATAATTCTAAAATGGCACAAGATTCAACATTCCCGTTTAAAGCATTCGATTCCCTGAAGTTTTCTTGTTCTTAGAGCATATTTTCAGACCGGATACTCATTTCGTTTAGTATGGAGAGACTAAAATATAGGACTATGTCATTTGACAGTTAAAAAACAGCCATTTTTCAAACTTATCTAAAGATAATTCTAAACCGCCATAAGATTCAACATTGTGGTTTAAAGCATTCGATTCTCTGAAGCTTGCTAAATCTCCGAACAAATTTTCAAATCGTATCCTCGATCCGTTTAGTATTCAGAGACCCAATACCTATGAAAGTGCCATATGACAATTAAAAATCAGTCTTTTTTCAAACTTATCTAGAGGTAATTCTAAAATGGCACAAGATTTAACATTGCCGTTTAAAGCATTCGTTTCCCTGAAGCTTTCTTGTTCTTAGAGTATATTTTCAGACCGGATACTCATTTCGTTTAGTATGGAGAGAGCAAATTATAGGACGATGTCATTTGAGAGTTGAAAAACAGCCATTTTTCAAACTTATCTATAGATAATTCTAAACGGCCACAAGATTCAACATTGCCGTTTAAAGCATTCGATTCCCTGAAGCTTTTTAATTCTCCGAACAGATTTTCAGATCATATACTCGATCAGTTTAGTATTGAGAGACCAATATCTATAAAAATTCCATAGACAATTAAAAACCAACCTTTTTTTCAAACTTATCTTGAGATAATTTTAAAATGATACAAGAATCAACATTGTCCTTTGAAGCATTCAATTCCCTGAAGCTTTCTAAATCTCGGAACAAATTTGCAGATCATATACTCTATCAGTTTAGTATTGAAACACCAATATCTATAGAAATTCCATAGACAATTAAAAACAACCTTTTTTTCCAAACTTATCTTGAGATAATTTTAAAATGATACAAGAATCAACACTGTCGTTTGAAGCATTCGATTCCCTGAAGCTTTCTAAAGCTCGGAAAAAATTTTCGGATCATATACTCGATCAGTTTAGTATTGAGACACCAATACCTATGAAAGTGCCATATGACAATTAAAAATCAGCCTTTTTTCACACTTATCTAGAGATAATTCTAAAATGGCACAAGATTCAACATTGCCGTTTAAAGCATTCGTTTCCCTGAAGCTTTCTTGTTCTTAGAGTATATTTTCAGACCGGATACTCATTTCGTTTAGTATGGAGAGAGCAAATTATAGGACGAAGTCTCTTGAGAGTTGTAAAACAGCCATTTTTCAAACTTATCTATAGATAATTCAAAACCGCCAGAAGATTCAACATTGCCGTTTAAAGCATTCGATTCGCTGAAGCTTTTTAATTCTCCGAACAGATTTTCAGAATTAAAAACAACCTTTTTTTCCAAACTTATCTTGAGATAATTTTAAAATGATACAAGAATCAATCATTTCGTTTAGTATGGAGAGACCAAAATATAACACGATGTCATTTGGGAGTAAAAAAACAGCCTTTTTTCAAACTTATCAAGAGATAATTCTAAACCCCCACAAAATTTAACATTGCCGTTTAAAGCATTCGATTCCCTGAAGCTTTCTAAATTTCGGAATAAATTTTCAGATCATATACTCGATCAGGTTAGTATTGAGAAACGAATACCTATGAAAGAACCATATGACAATTAAAAACAACCTTTTTTCAAATTTATCTAGACATAATTCTAAAATGGCACAAAAATTCAACATTACCCTTTCAAGCTTTTTAATTCTACGAACAAATTTTCAGATCATATATTCGATCAGTTTAGTATTGAGAGAACAATACCTGTGAAACTGTTATTTGAGAGATAAAACACAGCCTTTTTCAAATATAATGAGCCTTAATTTCAAAACAGCACAAGATTTCGCGATTTGGTTTAAAACATTTGGTTCTATGAAGCTTTCTAGTTCTTCAAACAAATTTTCAGACCGGATCAGGATTCGTTTAGTATTCAGAGACCAATAGCTTGGAAAGTGTCATATGAGTATGAGTTAAAGAAACAGCCTTTTTCAAACTTAAAGACACATAACTTTAAAACACCACAAGATTTAATATTGCGATTTGAAACATTCGCTTCTCTGAAGCTTTTTAGTTCTACGAGCAAATTTTCATATCAGATATTAATTCCGTTTAGTATGAAGAAGCCAATTTATAGGAAAGTATCAATTAATAGTTAAAAAAAAAACAACCTTTTTCAAATTTAACGGGACTTAATTCCAAAACGGCACAACATTCCGCATTACGGTTGGAAGCATTCAATTCCCGGAACCTTTCTATTTCTACAAACAAATTTTCAGACCGGATACTCGATCCGATTAGTATAAAAAGATCAGTCATCTACACAATATTCGTAAAATATATATAAAATTTGACAACAATCAGTCCGGTAGTTTCGGAAATTATCTGTTTAATGAAAATCGAAACAAAAATATCAACACACCATGAAAGTAGCGAGCTTACACTAAAGAAGGAGAAATAATAAAGTAAAATTAAATATTTTATCCGAAAAACGAAATATTA